GAGTCAAGGTGTTGCAGGATGTAATGCAGTGCCATGTTCACTGCATCATCCACTGACCTGTTTGCCCAGTAGGTGAACTGCAGGGGGTCAACAATGTCCTTCAGGTGGGCCAACACCAGTCTTTCAAAGGACTTCATAACTACAGATGTCAGGGCAACAGGTCTGTAGTCGTTCAGTCCACTGATGGAGGGTTTCTTGGGGACTGCACTGATGGTGGAGTGTTTGAAGCAGGAGGGGACTTCACACAGCTCCAGTGACCTGTTGAAGATAAGTGTGAAGATGGGGGCCAGCTGATCAGCACACACTTTCAAGCAGGAGGGGGTCACAACATCTGGGCCTGGTGCCTTTCTGATCTTTTGTCTTTTAAATAGGCCATGCACATCATTTTCACAGGTTGTTAGAGGTGGGGGGCTGGAGGGAAGGGTAGTGATTGTCAGGGGAGCAACTGCTGGATCTGCGGTGGGGAGGTTAAGGGGGGAGTGTTGATTATCAAACCTGCAGTAGAACACATTCAGGTCGTCTGCCAGTTGGCGGTCCTCCACAGCAGGGGGGGATGGCTTTCTATAGTCAGTGATGGTTTTCAGGGCATACCTGAAATGCAATGTACACAAGGGATCAAAAACAGATCAGGTTTTAAATAGCCAGTACAGACTCTTTAAATGTGCCACAATGAGCCAGAAAGCCTCCAAATTAGCTCTAGACATTATCTTTATATACGAATTAAGGTCTTTCTATTGTCAGCATATTAAAATAATATAGAACTGACAAATACAGAATATAAAGAGTGACTGTGGGATACTCAACAAAACACAAATGGTGATGCACATGAAGTACAAACGAAACATACCAAGTCAAATTTGTGTTAAATACTGCCCTCATTGTGTTACTACTGCTCCACACATCAGAGTCAGGTTCTCTGTTCACACCAAAGTGCAGTTTCCTGCCCCTCCTACACCACACACATACAGCAGATGCACCCAGACACACACATACACACAGCCATGCAAAAATCAATAGGTCTTTCAACAGGCTGCTGTGCTGGCTTGAATGTGAATAAACAGTTGGATACCTCAGCTGAGGATCGATTGGCGTAGACAGATGAATGGCATATGATGACACCTGCGAATGCGTGTGTATGGAGTCAGAGAAAGTGGGCGAGACCTCGTTCTTTTTCTCTCTTACTGTTACTAGTGTCTCTCACTCTGGTGTCTAACTGCTCTCACTCTCAGAGGATCAATAGGTGTGATGGATTAGTGACAGGTACTACACAGTGGAGACGCACACTATCAAACAGCAACACTTCCTGTACAGACATGTTTCAATCACTCTGCCAGTCATACTTTGTTTTCCAGGACTGCCTGCTGCCCTGCTTCTCACTGCAATCGGCTGGTTGACTTCTACCTCCGACACAAACGTTAATAAACAAACCCGCACCTTGCACTCACACAGAGGTTGAACCCCTGACATTTGAGTGTGATTTTGTGAAGTGCACTGGGCTGTGTCTGTCCATCACTGGCAGTGATTCTTCAGACAATGGCCTGTCCACGCTGATCGATTGTATCTGTGGAGCTGGGTGACAGCGACGCAAAGGTCTGGGTTTACAGCTGTGGGTTTCTGACTGCCTCCCACACAATCTCTCTCTCACACACCACAGGTATTGGATATGCACGAGAGAAATATTCCTGGGTTTAACTGAATCCTGCAATTTGGAAATCTGATGTTACTTAGCAGTGTTACAGCGGTTTTGCAATTTAAAAAAAAGCAGTAGTTTAACATACAAAGCAATGAAACAGGCTTATTCACATACTTGCCAAAATCTAGACAAGGATACCACTCTCATTTCTATACAGTAACTATGAGTCAATACAGCTCGTCTTGCTTTGTACAACAGTAACAATTCAAATACCAGCACATCAGTAACATGGTTTTTCCTTCTGGCTAAGAAATAGTCCAGCCACAGCCACAAAACCACAAAAGAATGCACTTAATAAATCAGCACTGTTTTGAAGTTACTTGGACTGCTTCGTCTCTCAGAGTTAGTGTGGTTAAAAGTACCGAGTACTACAACACCATGTCCTGACTTCATTGGAATTGGGGTTTGTACATTTTGCACACTATAGGCTGTCATTATGTCAAATTAAGTATATATTTGTTGTATTTTTTTCTTTTTAAAAAATACTAATTTAAATCCTGGTGAAATTTAAATCTAACCTATTAAATTGCTTTTCTATTCTATTGTACCTTTCTTTTAGCATTTAGTTTTTTAACCATAAAACGTCTGTCAGCACATGACTTCAAAAACATGTATATATGTGATTTTGTGTGATGACACATGGAGTCCAGTCATACCAGCAGGTCTTCATCTTTATTGTTGCTCAGTAGTCGTCCATACAAAGGGGGGTGGAGGAGAGCAGTGGAGCCCGACAGGACAAACACAGGAACATCATGCTACCAAAGTATTAAATTTGTACAAAAATACTTTACAACATCCCTGTTCCTTTAAAGAAAAATACAGTTTGGTTGGTTGGTGAAGCTACATGGAAACTAATCTGACCCACTATTTCAAATGGCAGTACAATGGTTTGTGTGTATGTGTGTGGTTGTCTTGCTGAGGTGAATCACTAGAGTGCAAATCCCTGCAATGTTACACACAAACACACACTCTAACAGATAATTCATCAAACAAACACAGTGCGTATGGCTTTAGATTCACTTATCAAACCCTCCTGAAGCCACGCCCCCTAGCTCTGTGACTTTTTCCCATTGGTGGAACAATTTGTCTCGGCTGTTGCTATGCTAACTGGTCAGCTCTTTAGCTTAGTGTCTGTATAATGTTAGCTGTAAGATGGGGAATGCCAGCTGTGTACTAACTAAATACTAACTAGGTGTTTGCTGTGTGCCAATCAAATATTGCCTAAGTTTACCATATGTGTCAGCCTTATTTTAAGCCTGTGATTACAAGTTACTAGCTAGTATGTTTACTGGGTATTAGCCCTGTGTTAGTCTTGTTCCTGTAGCACCTAACTGGTGGTCAGGTGCTAACCCTGTGTTAGCAGTGAGCTAACAAGACAATGGCTGTTTATTGTGTTACCTTGGCCTTATTCCAGGTCTGTGCTAACCACTTGCAAGATGAATTAGCCCTGTGCTAAAACCTAGCTGAGCTAGCCCGATGTTAGCCCTGCTTTTGCTGGGTATCTTGTACTAGGTGTGTGCTGACCACATACTGGCTGTGGTAGTCAGGTTGGGCTAGCCATATGCAAATATGCTAGCTCAGTCAGCCTTGTGTTAGCTCTATACTAACCAATTAGTTGTTAGCATGTGCTAACAGAGCCCTTGCTAAGTTTGCCAGATGGTAAGATGATAAACATAACTGGTACTAATCTTGTGCTAAATTTTGAAACTGTATGGTAGCCACATGTTAGGCTAATGTTAACACTGTTATAATTTTTTAGTATAATACTTGTGTGGTGTAGAAGAGAATTATTTACTGCTTGCAAACCAATGATGGTAAGATGATGTCATGGGGTAGGACTGGATAAGTCTGACTTCTTCCTACTCCATTCAAGCATGTACTAGTTATAAGCAAATTGATATTGGATTATGTGTAAAATTATGTGTGTTGTCATATCAACTGTCTTTACATGCTTGAAAGAATAAATCAAATCAAAATCAAATCAAATCTAATGCTATCCCTGCACTCAGTGTGTGCTTTAAATTCGTAGCTATCCAATTTTAGGACAGAGTAAAACAGCCTATCATAACTAGCCACAGAGAAACAACCAATTACAGCTCTTGTATCCAAAGCACAGAAGCTGTTGCAAAGCAGCTATTGGTCAGTTTGGCTCAGGGAGGGTTTCAACAGGTTGTCGGTGATGAGGGAGGGTTCTGATTGGCCAGTTCAAATAGTGAGTTCAGACTGAGGTGAGAGCAGGAAGATGTTTACATTGCTCAAAAGTCAATACTCGCACGCACGCACGCACGCACACACACACACACACACACACACACGTATTTACTATCACAAGTTTCCTGTTTGAACAGATTTTTTTTTCCCTCACATAACATTGTTTTTGTAGTTATGAGGTCAAAGTTTTCAGGGCTCTGTGGGTTTGATGTATAGTGATGTGACTGAACAGTTTTTTTTAAATCAGTGTTACATCTTTTCATGTTCAGTTGCCATGGAAACAAACAGAAAACAGACAAAAGTCAATCAAAAAACACACCAATCGATTACCATAATAGATCGCTGTAACTGGGGGGAAGGAAGTTCGGCAAGTAGGGGGTGGGGGCATGCTCGGCTTTTTCTTGGGAATGGATTGGTTGCTTTGCATGTTGAGGAGAACCAATCACAGACAGGCAGGAAAGTGTTTCTCTTCTGATTGGGTCCAGCCAATCAGCTGAATCTCTCAGAGTATGTGTGTCTGTCATCCTGGCTGCCTATTGGCTGAGGGAAGAAGAGGAGCTGGTGCAAAGCCAAGACAAGGACGTGAGGTGGGAGGGGCTTAACTGGCCTGTTTAATGCACACACAACACACACAAACAGACGCGCACATACATACACACAGTGTGGCCAGTCGAACAGGTGTAAACAGTAGAAAAAGCTTCTTATTGAACTGCTCAGTATCATCATCATTAACAATGTCAACATTATTTTCCGGTTTGCAGCTAGTTCATGGCACAGAACAAAAATCTTAACAGTAAACCCTCTGTGTTTATGTCCATTTCATTAGGGATGCTCCGATCAGTATCAGCTGATAATTATCTTTAAATTATACTATTTATTTTGCTATTGTAAAATTCACCAGAATTAAATCTGTGTTTTGCTGCCAACTACATTACTGCTGCCTGGTCTCCACCACTAGAACTGGATAAGGTCTGAGAACTGTGGATACTAGAGTCATGTTTTTCAGTACTGATAATTATATTCATTTTCAAAAAGTATACAAGTTTAGCTACAAGAATCCAGTCAAATGTCGGCATAAACAATCTCACCACAAAGTCAAGTAGTAGCTGCTCCAGAACTTTGGATCATAACTTGTGATCATCATTAGTAGGTGAAGTTCACCCAGCTGCCATGAAATTGTTTCTGACAAATTAAAGTACCTTGATCTCTCAAACAATCTGCAGTGAGCTTCAGAACACTTACTGGACCTTGTGGTGAGATTGTTTTCAAGCTGATTTGAAGTTCAAGAATGTGTTGAACCTCAGCTTGGCTGAAGTTAGATTTAACTTAGCAACTATTTGACAAAACAAAGTAAGGAAGATAACAGATCTGACTAGACATTCGATACTGTCTTAAGGTTACCCAGCCACTGCACCCAACACACATAATCGGACTGGGGCACTGGCACATTTTGCTACACTCTCGATCAAACTGTTCAGTTATTCTTATTAAAATAATATTTTTGCACATGTTGGAGATTCATATTGTTCGTCCCTTTTACTAATGGGCATTTTGAGGACTACATTGCGGAATTCTCAGACTTTTTAAGTCTGCAGGATACCTGGTTTGTCACAACTGAATTTGAGCAGCTGCATGTAGTTGTGGTCGTAAGGATCCCATCCCATTCTTAATCTGGGCTCCGCCTAATACCAACCATCTCTGATTTAGGAATGAACCATTTTCAACTTTATGCTTACACTTTGTAATCTCCAGAATTTACCCTGAACCATAACCATCCTTATGTGTAAACCAAACCTGCTGATCCAGTCCAGGTGCTTCTGTCCATAACCCTGGTGGGATCTATTACCTTGTCCTTCTTGCCATGCAGATTCTCATCCAGCTGTGAAAACAAAAACAAGACTGGGGCAATGACAAGGCATCAGTATGCTCAAAGTGTTTTTCAGTTGTAGATCAGCGTCAGAAACCCCCTTTCCAACAATGATGAGTGACCATTTTTAACAGCTATAAATACTTTTGCTTTACCTTCCCTTTTTATTCAAGCATTCCCTGGCCTTCACTGTTGAAAGACCAGGTGGACAAAGAACAGTGAAGCTGCTTTGTAAGCATTCAGACATACAGGGGTCAAGAAGGGTCTATTTTAACTTTTGAATTAACTAGCAGCATAATATAGTAATAATCTAGACCAGTGATTCCGTCTTGGAGAATATCTAGAGTAAAGGCCCTTTCACACCAGACGCAAATTTAACGCGCAATTTATTCGCGCGTCAATAATATTTTTTGAACCAATAACTTGTCAATGATATATTGCACACCGCCGACATAATTTCGTGACGCGAAAAGCGACATTAATTTTTTTCGCCTCCGGGTTGATTTTTCCAACTCGTCGCAGCGACGGCAGAACCTCTGACCAATCACAATGCAGCTTGTTGACACGTCAAATTCAACATGGCGGACCGCTTAATCCAATTTGTTTCAGCGAATTCAGTTATCTATGATTAAAAAGGACAAAAACTACAAAGATAATGAATACAAAGATAACGCATGGAGACGGATAGCAGAGGATCTTCACTTGATTGTGAACTAAACTGATTTCATTACAAATAAACCTTTTTTTTTTTACGTCGCTGTTCTGGGTCGATCGGATCCCTGTAATTATTTTTCTGTTTCATCGTGTGGGGGGTCAACAGCACCAACAACTCTTCAAACTGTCCCACAGACATCCTGAAATAGGTCCTAAAGCGACCATTATACAACATCAGTTCCTGTACCAACCGATGAAACTCGCCATGTTCTCTCCTTCTTTTCAATATAGGATGGACCCAAAACCTTCGTTTTCTTTTTTTATGTAGCAGGACAAGCAGTACATCATCGTCGCTTGATGTGGAGTCCATCTTTGTAGCGCGACGTTTTAAGAAAATATTGCTTATTCACGTCGCGTTCGGTGTGAATACTTTTGGTGCGTTAAATTCGCCTGCGTTTTTTTGCTTTTTTGTCTCGCTTATTCGCGTCGTGTTCGGTGTGAAAAGGCCTTAAGACTTGTACATAGATCAAAGTGGTGGGTTTTAAAAGGGCTTCCTGTGTGGAACTTATAAAATGTTTCAGATGTTTCAGTCAGTGTTAAGTATTGGTTTGGACAACCCCAATGACATCAGCCCTAGACAGCTTGATCGGAGCATCCCTAGTCTCCTTGGCAGCCTGTCTGTCCATCAGCAGGGTCTGGATTTTGGACTGGAGTCCTGTCAGTCTGTGTGCTGCTGTGGTTCTTGGTCAGTACAACCAAAAGACATTTTTATGGTTCTAGTAAGACCAGATGGGCCAGGAGCCATGATTCTGTACTGGACTGTGACTTCAGTAGGGTCATACATCTGCACTCACTAGGACCAGAACTTGTGTCTTGAACTCGTAAGAACATTGGCTATCACACTGATTTCAGTGGGATCAGTAGCAATGATCCTCTGACAAGGACCGGATCCCATGTGTCTTTGGACCAGTAAGCCCAATGTCTGTGGCTCTTGTTTCAGCAGGGCCAGTGCCCATGGTTCTCTGACCCTGACACCGTGAACCAGAATCATGTCTTGGACCAAGGAGGATCACTGGCTGTGGCTCTGAATTCAGTAGTACTAGTAGCGGGTTCTGTCACTGCTATGACAGTAACCCATATGTCTTGGATCAGTGAGACCACTGGCTGTGACTGCAGTTCCAGCAGGACCAGAAGCCGTAAGTCTAGTCTTGTAGAACCAGTAACCACTGATCTTAGACCAGCAAGACCATTGGCTGTGGCTCTGGCTTTAGTAAAACCACTAGTCATTGTTCTGGACTAGCAGAAACAGCACACATTAGTCTTGAACCACTTATACCAGTAGGTCATATTTCTGGTTCCAATGACTCCAGTTGTACCGGCATGCAGAACTGGTTCAGGTGATAGGGTAAAAATTTTCTCTGGTCCATCAGTGTGCTTTCAGGCTGCTTTAGCAGTTCAAGGATTAAACTTTAGTGATCAAAGGTCAAACTTCATCCAAGGGTTGTGTATAGCACCATACGGGGGTCCACTCTGAACTGGTTTGGATGGATCTAAACCGGTTTCATTCAACTTTGTTGTCCTTTTCTCCTGTTGACCTCTCTGGTTCAGTCTAGTTACAACCAGTTTAATCCAGTTTGATAGAGTTTTTGCCTGCTATAAGGAACTATTATGCACCTGACCCACCCCAATCGCCACCCCCAGCCTGTCTCCCGGTTGGCTCCACTTTATTGGACCACCATCCTCTCCTTGACTGACTGAAAGCTCCGATGGTCCCAGCTCACTGCTGATTGGCTGAGAAGAGTGGCTGCTGTTGGTGGTGCCCTCAGTGTGATTGGCCAGCAGAGAGGAGGAGGTGGGGTTTCGACTTATGACAAGCTCCAAGCGATTTGGAGACTCTGCAATCAGAGGAACAACGAGGCAGCAGTCAAAGTCCCTTGTCCGCACATGGTTAATCTGGAAGACCAAAAAAGTATATGGTTAATTTACAGAGGCAACAGCAGCTGAAGATCATGGGTAATGTAGCATTTACAGCCATCCTCCAAAACATGATTTCTCATAAATGAAATTCTGGGAGACTCTGATCTTTCTGTGTGTATAACATTAAGAATATCATGTAAAGAAAACAATGAAATGGAAATACAGAATCAGGACAAAGGCTCCCAGAACCAGTGGCCATCACAAATCTATAACAGTAGCAGTCCAACACTACTTCTTCTTTTGGCTGTTCCCATTAGGGGTCGCCACAGTGAATCATCTGTTTCCACCTAACTCTATCCTCGGCATCCTCTACTCTCACCCCATTTAACTTCATGTCCTCTTTTAGCACATCTGTATATCTCCTCTTTGGCCTTCCTCTTGACCTCTTGCTTGGCAGCTCCATCTCCAACATCCTTCTACCAATATTCAAAGTTCAAAGTGTTTATTTTGTCATATGCACAGTTAGGAAATGTGTTTCCCTGTACAATGAAATTCTTACTTTGCCGTCCACATGAATGCCACAAAACACAAATGAAATATAAAGTAGATAAATAACACAAAATCTAAGGCACTTTAAGCAGCAACAAATGCAGCAATATAATAAAAAATATATAAGAATATAACAGAATGTGTGCTGCATGGGAGCAGCATGTGCAGCAGTCAACAGTCACTGTACATGCAATTATGCATGTGCAAACTTAGAGTGTAAACAGTACATCACGTATTTCCTGGTAAAATCCTCAGCTGTTTAGGAGTCTGAAGGCAGAGGGAAAGAAAGAGTTTTTCAGTCTAGTGGTCCTGCATTTAACAGGACCACTAGAAGGGCAGAGAAGTGAACAGTCCGTGCTGGGGGTGGGTGGGATCTTTGAGGATGGAGGCAGCTTTCCTATGCACCCTGCGGTGGTAAATGCTCTGCAGAGAGGGCAGTGGAGTCCTGGTCAGCTGTAGAAGTTGCAAAGGATCCTAGGCGACATGCCAAACCTCCTCAGCCTCCTCAGGAAGTACAGCCGTCGTTGGGCCTTCTTGACCAGCTGTGTGGTGTTATGTGTCCAAGTGAGGTCCTCACTGATGTCAACGCCCAGGTATTTGAAGCTGCTCACCCTCTCCACTTCCAAGCCCCCGGATGAACAGTGGCTGATGAGTTCTCCTCTCCTTCCTCATGTCCACTATCATCTCCTTCATCTTGTCCGTGATGAGGCTGTGATTATTGTCCTAGCTCCATGTCACTAGACTGGTCATTTTCCTCCTGTAGGCTGCTTCGTCCCCGCCAGTGATGCGACCTATCACTGCGGTGTCGTCCGCGAACTTCAGGATGATGTTGTCTTTGTGGGAGGCGACACAGTCGTGGGTGAACAGGGTGTAGAGGATGGGACTGAGGACATGTCCCTGTGGGGTGCCGATGTTTGTGATAATGCTGGCTGAAGTCCTATTGCCAATCCTGACAGTCTGAGGCCTGCCAGTCAGAAAGTCCAGGAGCCAATCACAGAGGGTGGGGTGCAGACCCAGTGTGGACAGTTTGTGGGTGAGTTTGTGGGGGACAACTGTGTTGAAGGTGGAGCTGTAGTCAATGAAGAGTATCCTGAAGTAAGAGTCTCCATTTTCCAGGTGAGAAAGGGAATAGTGGAGGGGGGGCGCGGAAGAGGCTGCGGGGGGGCCGGTGGCC